AAATCTTTGTTTTCTGAATCCCACATCAATGTGTTATGATTTATTATACTGAGTAGTCATGCTAATGCTGTGCAATGTCTTTGCACCGGATAAAACAGCAGAACGAATAAACAAATCCAATTTCGCTCTCTATTTAGCATTACAACACTCATGTCTACTTTATCTCGATCTCATGAACTTGCCCGTGACCTAAAATGAACACATCCGAAGGCGAACTTTTTGAGCGAAGTGAGTTGTCAACTGCTTTTGAAGCTATCTAAATTATGGGATTGTAATGTACCCCAAGCCCCTAAATACGATTAATCGTATGGTGCAACTTACGCAGATTAACCAACACCACTGCGCTTTAGATGCGTCTATCATGGTGGTATTGGGTAGAATTATTGCGAATTGAGGTCCTTTTACAATGCAGGTTGGTCACCCTAGCTCATGGGACACAGCACAGCATCAAGTTAAGCCAACTCAAGAAGCGGCTTAGTGTTCCAATTTAGGTTATAATGGTTCGTTCTGAAAAGAATTCATTCATCTTTTGTTTTTCTTTCAGTTTTCTTTTGGGTCTTGCTAGATGTGTTCATTTACGCCCTTATGATACTTAACCAGTGTAGTAGTGTAACGATTTCAACATAATCATAAAAGTTCTACGTGGTTTATTTCAGAATAAGTTGTATGCCTAATTTTATGTATTGAATTAGCATATCGCGGTGCAGTCAAACAGGGGAGATATGTTTGCTCAAAAGTGCCTGGTGCTCGGTCATCACCGGCGCTACATACATCGCAGTGTGCTCTTGATTTGTTCGTCCGAACTGGTTAGCGGTTCTCCGAGGCCGGATTGAGCTAAACTTTGGAATGCCCATGGACAGCGGTTTGCTTTCTGGTGCTCTATAGTGTGCTATAACATCCAACGGTCAGGTGAATCGAAACCCGGGAAGCCTCTGTCACGACGTACATCAATGAAAGCTAACAGATTGACATAGAATCACATTGAATTCGGGTCATAATCCTATGTGGAGGTATGAAATGTTTAACTTGACCACTGAATAAATCAACGAGATATTTCAGACCCCGAATAGTTCAATACGTGAGTTTGGTTTACGAATAACCCTTAAGAAGGATCAGAAGGAAAGTAATCAAACAATCTCGTCTTTGAAACCCCTAAATAAAACAAAAATGATTAAGAAGCTGGTAGGCAAGCTATTTTTTGAACATGACTCCCGTGACTCAGTACAATAAGGTTGACACAAATGTAAATCCAAGCGCATGACTTCCCTCAAACTAGTGCACTCAAGATTGAGTTGTATTAGATACTCAACTAATGGCAATTTTGAACATTTGGCTGCATTTAGGGAACAGATAAAAAATAGTATATGCATAATCTGGATGCGTTGGCGAGGTGGTTACCCGAGTAGGATGCGCTTCGCAAAACATCCTGTTACAACCGGTTTCCCCAAATAATATAACTGATAAAATGCTGATATGGATAAGCTCAGATGAAAGTCGCTATACTTATACTACCCTCTAGGAAACGTGAACTATTTGCTATATTTTACAGTTATGAAAACAGACTTAAGACAAGACGTTTCGTCGATTGACGGTAGTGACATAAATATGGAATTGCGGAGAACCACTGACAGTATGTTTTGTGAATCGTGTTGGGTGTATTTCATTGTGCCCCTTATTCACACCCAAAAAACAATCATGAGTGTACCAGATAATTTAATGATGATGGAGAAGTGAGATATGTAGATGCAGATGGGGTCTAACTCATTCATAAACAAATGTTGACTAATTACTTTAGATCAGTTAATTTCCCGGCGAGAACAGTGAAGAAAAAATATAATGAGATGGTTATTTTTGCCTTACTTTCTAGGCTGTGCACGTTTGGTGTGTGAATAGGGCTGATGCATAGTTCTTTCAGCACAAATAATTTTGAACGAGTAGGAAGGGGATTTGAAGGTACAGCAGGACTAGCTGATTAACTAACCATCAATTAGATTAAAATAAATAGTCAAAGTTTGGAAAGTAAACGGTGCTGGAGAGAGAGTGGGAATACTTACGGCTATTTACTCACAAAACGTATGGTTCCTCGAATAAATCTCTGGAAAATGTTCGTGCCTAAAGGCGGAAGATAGAAACAAAATTCACCCCGGGCCCACCAAAAATGTCACTGATATACCTGTGCGAACAAACAGTTTTCCTAATACAACATCATCTGTCTTAATTCAATCAGCATCGCTTGACTGTTTTACTTGGCCACCACCCCAGTCTAGGATGGTGACTTCATCGCACTCGTAAGTCATGGTAGTGGCTTCATTCGATAGTCGACATTTTACTCTGACCAGCTAATTATTTGATGCTTCTCCATCCAAATAGAAATTCCAGCTTCCCACGTTTGTGTTTATGCACTCGTCAGATCTGATTGTGAGATGTAGCTTTAGTGCAATCTGGGATACTAATTCGAATTTGAACTAACCAGGAATAAAACAATCACTATCCACACCACACTGAAATCTTTCAACCAAGCGGTCTTCCTGTACATAAAACTCCCGGCACATCGGTCGAATGTGGATCAGAGAAAAATATCAACACTAATGCGGCTATCATCAATCATTTGGCAACAATGATTGCAACACTTTCGAAGGGAAGTGTTCACTTTTACTCTCTTACACTCCCGCAATGATGCTGTTTGCCATCAGTAGGTCATAAAAAGGAAATAGGATTTCGTTGGAATTCACCTGCAAATCGTGTTTGTTCAATTTTTCTTACTCGATTGCGAACTGAAACAAGTTGAAGGACACTTCTCAGGCCATCATGGGTACTTAAAACCGGTATAATACGTGTCATGGGATTTTTGTTTGCTCTTTTTATCTATTTATGGGTGCACCGCAATCAAAGTTTTCATTTGCGACTGTAAAAAACCAAGAAAATTAAGCTGAGAGCGCTGAAGCAGTCCATATTTTGCCTCACGTTTGTAGTAAACAACAGTATTTCGATCGTATTGGCAGTTACAAAAGAATAACTTATAAATGTATCATCTGATTTGAAGCAACTGATCTCTCGTCTGATGCCCAGTGAAAATCGTTCGTTTCATACAACAACCCATGACCCAATAAATCAGACTGGAATTTGAAGCCAGAAAGCCGGTGAAGCATAGCTTAATTATTGATCATTCATGTATATTTTATCCAATTTTAAATCTTATTGGACTCGATACACGGAGTATTTCATTGTCGGAACAAGTGTATCCTACTTTTTTGCAAACTTCAAAGATAATGGTTAAAACAGATATATGCATTTTCAGCGTTGATGTGGCAATTAGAAGATTACACGAGGGCTGATAAAGATAGACATATGAAAATACTTCGCAAAGTTTGATTGGCCAATGCTGCAAAATTATTGTGTGTATGGGTGTGAAGGAAGTAACCTAGAAACGTAACGAGAACAAAATGATTAGTTATAAACCAAATGTTTCCACTATTAAGCAACGCTTCTCATGAAACTGATATTCAGAAATAGTTTTTACCATAAGAAATATGAAATGTCAAAATTGGAAAATATTTTTTGATTTATATATAAAAATGATAACTGGTGGAAATCCGTTATAAAATCTGTTACCTGCGTCATGTGAGATACTGGTAAGACTGATAGTTTTAAAACTGTGCCTTAAATCCGCTCCGGATTCGCCTTCCCCGGAAACCACTCTGTACATAAAGTATCATGTCGCTGTCAGATTGACTGTAACTCATAGTTAATAAATTACAATCAAACCAGTAGCTGTGATTAAGATTGGACGCTGCAGTGAATTCAAAACATGTCAAATGCTTTCCTCTTATCAAGCTACTGGTTATATCTGCGCGTGAACCGCTTTGATGATTTAAAGCTTATCAAGCAATTGTAATATAATTACATTTAACTCTGAGGGCAGTAAATAACACTTTTGCAATCAAACATCATTAAATGATTACTAGCGAAAAGAGTAGCTCCATTTTTGAAGTCAGGAAAATCCACTGTTTCACATTACCATCTATTCGCACTTGGAAAACGTGTTACGTCAAATGATTTATAGCGTTCACTGCAAGAACAGTGAGTAGCCTTTGCGCTTCTGGGAATATTATTGAGATTATTATTGGATATACTGAGGCACTACCGAACTAACGTGTCAACTCAGAATTCGCTTTTTCTACAGCCAACCGTGTTTCAAAGCACTTACAATCCGGTTTTTCGTGAATAAAGGAAGATTTCAAAAATTAGGGATTCGAGCTTCTTCATTATACAGCTAGCTGATAATCTCCTATGCTCGAATTACTTTGTAGGCATTTTCTAATGATTACAATTTTCGTGAAATAGTATTTTCACACGTCGATCTAACGTGAATATGCGAATCAGTATACAACAATGCTAATTTGCGTTATATAATGCCTCTTGAATTTACATTTTGATGAGTTGAGACAACCGCTTTTGTGTTTCTCATTCCTACCATGTTCAAAAATATACTGTATGTTCTAGTATAAGCGATTCAGTTATTCATTAATCTATAATTTTTGTACTGAATTTCCTACGTATACCTACATTCAATAATTGCAATAAATGTACGGTTTTATGAGTTAACGCGTTGGAAACCATATTCACATGAAAATTTTTCGTTCATCGTCTCCGTAACTTAATGTGCAATGTCACGCAAAGGCCAACTCTGATTTAGAATGTTCAAATCAGTGCTTGCAATATTGCTTTCTTTATTGTTTATTGTTCATTTGTTTTCATTTTTTCATTTTCCTCCCGAATTTCATCAGATGAGACACGGAAAGATTAACATACATCATCGAGATAGCTTCACGTCATGATCTTTGTGTGCAACGAATGACACCGAACGATCCTATCAGTTCGATTCTTTCACACACCCTGGTCGATGACCATGTTACCTCGGAATGTGGATAGGGCGATTCGAGGCAAAGTCCACGACCAGTCCCAAGCTTGTTCAATGGTGGATTACACGGAACTTTGTGATGTTCATAATGCTAATCGTGACAGCACTCACTCCGACCGCTGACGCCACACAGACTATCCGATTCGAGATGGAAGAGGAACGACCCAACGGATATCTTGTGGGTCTACTCATCAAGCATCTCCCAGACGCTATTCTGACTGGCCCGGGTCAACTGACGTTCCGTACCATTCAGGATGGTCATGCGCATTTGTTTACACTCGGACCAACCGACGGACGAATTCAGGTTGCGCATCGGATAGACCGCGAGGAGCTATGCCCTGATTCCAACGAACCCCGGGACACACTACAAATCAAACCGGAATGTTTATTAACCTTTTCTGTCAATCTGTTAAGACTAAACACTGTCGGTACGGATATTGTTGATATACTACGGATCATAATCCTGTTGCATGATATTGACGACAATGTATGCTTTTTCACTCCGTCCCATCAACAACTGATAAAAATTCCGGAAAACATGCCTCCAAATATGCTTTCAAACATTCCACTTCATGCCCCATGTGACCTTGATACTGGGCCAGGTAATGGAATAGAACAATCATTCATTCGACTAATATTCCCTACTACTTTCACCTCAACTACTTCAGCATTTTCTTCCCCCAACTCGTTTGCATCTATGTCCTCTTTATCTGGAGCACTGAGTGAGAAACCGCCTTTTGTTTTGAATATGAACCGAACAGGACTGATTACAAAGCCATTCGCACTGTTTCTCGTTCCGCAACAGATGTTTGACTATGAGCAGACTAGTCATTATGAGCTCCTTGTTGAAGCAAGCGGAGCTAATCGTTCTGAACAACGAAGTTGCAGACTAAAAATTACAGTTCAAATTGTAGATCAAAACGATTTTGCCCCACGATTCATACAAAATCACTCTGTAATCAAAATTCCTGAAACGGCCAGTTTAAATGTGCCAATCTACACACTATCCGCGGTCGACTCCGATCTTGGTCCCCTGTACAGTCAATTAATCTATGAATTTGATGTTCATGCCACGCCAGCCGTCAAAGCTCGATTTCGTATCGATCATCGAAATGGATCAATATTCTTACTTGCTCCCCTCGACTATCGGAAGCAAGCGTTCTATGACATTCCACTAGTAGTTCGCAACCCCCTACCTCAAGAGAATACCGAGTCACCATCCAGGTTAAGTGAAATCTTACAAACAGCAAATGAGGCACGGTTTATGGATCGAGCATTGTTACAGGTACAGGTACTGGACGTGAATGATCAACCCCCAATGATCTCAGTATTCACACCGGACGGTGGAGACAGCATAAGCCTGCGTGAACATACCAAAGACATTCCACTCGACATTGCTGTCGTTACAGTAGTGGACGAGGACACGGACACAGGAAACGCTATCAATTGTAGTCTGGATGACTCTGTGCTCGGACAATTCCGGTTAACACCAATCAGTCCGGTAGGTAAACAGCAAAGTTTTCACAATAAGAAAAGGGATGATACACCGTTGGAAGTGATCTATAAACTCTCAGCTCTGGCCTCCTTTGACAGAGAGGTGACCAGCTATGTGGATGTGAAAATTCGATGTCAAGATGAAGGCTCACCTCCGCTTCGAGCAGAACACATCGTTCATGTACGCGTGGACGACATAAACGATCACCCACCCGTGCTCAATCAAACCAAACTCCGACTCACCGTAACAGAGGATAGTGACCCCAGCAGAAAACATATCGGTTACGCAGTTGGGCGAATTGTGGCTACGGATCCGGATATCGGAGTCAACAGTCGGCTCACATATGAGCTAGTTAGTCGTGACGATAATGCAGATTATTTTGTTGTTGATAACGAGACTGGAATGATCAGATCACGTGGGAATTTGGATCGTGAGAGACAGAACCACTTTCAGTTGGAGATCAAGGTGACGGATGGAGGAACACCGAAGCTTACAACATTCGGAATTGTTGATGTGCAAATATTGGACTACAATGATGAGGCACCGATATTTGAAAAACAGGCTTATGAGTTCCGAATAACGGAGAATAATGGGCTTGGAGAATTGGTTGGCAATCTGCGTGCATCAGACAAGGATGAAGGCACAAATGCCATCATACATTTTCATATGGAACCGCTGACCAAAATAGGGGACAGATATCGGCACACATCACTCACATCAAGCGCATATTTTGAAGAAGCCGCCAAACTACCTTTTGATCTGGTCAGTTACTACGATACCGTTCATGGTACTTATGAAATTCGAATATATGCTAGACAGGCTCTGGACCGCGAAACAGTCAATCCTTCGGATGATGAAACTTCTGATCCTTTACTCATGCGATATGATCACAAAGTTGGAATGAGCAACACGAACGTTAATAACGGATTAAAAGCTAACCCAAGTTACAAATTTTGGGTTGTTGGTGAAGATGCAGGAACACCGAAACGACGTGGGCAGTCTCTGGTTCAAGTGTTTATCGACGATATGAATGACGAGCTTCCAAGATTTCTGAGCCCGGACACGAATGATTCGTTGATTAGTATTTCGTACTTGGAAAAAACGGGGCACATGATCCGCCAAGTAAGTCATACATATATCCGAGGTTTTATTCTTCCCAATGATTCAAATTTTAAAATATGTTGGTTCTCTTAAATAAGCAACGAATAGACAATTTACCTAGTTTTAGGAACGTACCACGGTAAGACTATTCGGAAACAATTATATACTCAGTATATAGTCAAATATATGATGTTTATAGAATGAATACTAAATTCTTAAGAAGTTACAAAACACAATAATTACCGCCTCTATCCCGTCAGAATAGTCTTTCGATATTTGTATAAAGTGTGTTCTTGTTGTTTAGAGCTCCACAGAGGTTGAACACAAACCTCGAAAATGTTTTGTCCTAGTCACCAAGGTTAAAATCAAAAGCTGCACAACACAATTTTTGAGAAAGCTATCTTTTTATATTAGACGATTTGATATGAATGCGCTTATCTGCGTAAGGCAACCGATTTTTGAGTCGTTTTGTTTTCAAACTTTCGCACTGAGGACTTCGTTTATCTACATCCCAGTTTGAAGTTGAGTAACAATGGGATATGGGGTTAGCAAATATCATAAAAGGTTTTTGTTCTCAACACATACTGGCTGAACGACACCAATAGCTGTTCTACGCTGTGCACGCGCTTTTGCCGTACGTTCAATATAATGTCTGTTACGCGTCATCTACACGTCAGGCAGTATGACAGAACTAGAAAAATTGTCAAGTTAATTGGTCGTTTGGTTTCTGTCCCCAGATCGGTGGTAACTGAAATGTAACTGGTATGTATGAGTTTTACAGTGTTTCTAACTTGTTTGATGGTTACGAAACCATGGAGTTATGAGATAGACTCAATCGTGTTTGGTTAAATTGTCATTGCCGAGCTATGTGTGCTACCTTATTTCCCATATAACTTTACAACCGCTTGTCCACATAAGCAAAAGGAAACCTTACGAGTAAATATATTATTATTTCCAACCAAAATTAGGTAATGAACGAAATAGATCATAAACAGTTCCTACCAGTTGGAACTTGAGCAAAATATACAGCTGATGATACATAGCGCGCGAACTCAAAAGCAATGCCAATCTTCTTTAAGAATGAACGGGATTTCTTGAGCATCAGTTCTATCACGCATTTGTTACAAACGCAAGCATTATCGTGGCGGCATGGTTAGTTAGAAACCAGTGACAAAATAAACTCTGACAATAGACCACAGCATTAATCCGTAAGGAGAATGACTTTGGGATTTGTACTTACCCAGATAGGAGGGGGAAATACTTGTTAGAATTTGTGAAAATTCATTCGACACAGTTTCTACCATCGGTGTTTAGCTTAAACGGACTCATATTGATTGACCGCTCCATGAATCCATGAAAACATGAAACATAATCAACTTCTGAATGGATTGGCCTCCATCTCTGAAGTTTCTATTTCACTGAATCAGATTCGATCTTACAAATAAAATAGTGCAAACAGACCCCTTTCGCTCAAAAAAGCCCTTGTGCAAAGCGTTTAGACTGGAAAACGAAATGGTGCTTTTTGGGTCAAAGTCATTGGCTTTGGAAAACTCCTGCTGAATATTTGTCAGTTCAGATTATAGTGCGACATCAATAACGATAGGTTGAAGATTTTTTTAATAGTACGGTGGAGCAAAAGTCGAACACCAAGTTGTTTAAGCAAAAAACGCTCTTTACAACTGAGCTAACAGTATTCAGCTAGAAGCAAAATTCTTCCCGGTTCTTTGATTTGGGCATCTAAACGATGGGTTATCCAAGGTTGTTGTTCGTAGCAAAAAGGGTTTAAATCACACATAAATCCACAGATGAAATCTGCTTAACCTGAATTCTGTGCGAGCATTGGGCGGAACGGGCCACAAATTTTCACATTTGCCGGAAATGGAATCATCTCGGATGACTCACCTTTTGTTCGCTTTATGTCAATTCAAAGCGTATGAAGTACATAGATCGTCAGACATACGGTTGACCTGTGTGAAGTTGTTAAAGGTCAGATCGGATAGCTTTAATAATTGAGATATCAATTAGGATGCAGTTATTGTGCTTGTGTGCAAACGAAGGGTAAGCAAAACACTTTCGGATACGAAGTACACTTACGAGATACAGGTGACCGGGAAAAGGGAAACTTGAACTGTTGTGAACATTGTCCAGTGAGTGTAACTCACAAAACCAAAGACCAACAGCCGAGCACAGCTCACAGTTCTAAAGGGTCGCTATACTCTGACTGTAAGGATGGAACCCAGTCGATGTCACCGACTATAAATGAGGTTCAAAGCAGCCGAGTGTTGGTCGTTTGTGAGCTGCCTTTGGTCATGGCGCCCCTTCCAGAAGCACCGTATTTGAGTGGTTTACAGAATTCAGGCGTGGCAGGCGTGGGCTCTGATACGAGTCACCACCAGCTGCAGTAGAGGCCTTTATTGAATTGGTCGAAGTGTTACCCGCCTCGGCGTGGTCAAACTGTCTGGCCAAACGGTTTTTGCGCACAGAACTGTGCACGAACACTGGTGAATAATGCTTCGAGAAAACAAAGTGCTCAATTTGTGTAACAAATAAAACCCTTTGTTAATCCGGAAATGTTTTGCTTAGACCTCGTAAAAGTGCCGGTTATTTTTTTACAGCGTATGTGCCCCGCAAATCGAACCTATGATGTTGGCTTAAGTTTTTCCTAGAAGCAATTTGCAAGAAGGCTGAATTGCTGTCATCAATGCGTCGTATTTTTGACAAATTGTTCACATAACTTCTCCAGAACTCGGTTCCCTCAGTGTGGCTCACCGGAATGTTTCATCTTTAGCACAGATTTCTGCGCTTCTTCCCTAACTGTACTAGTACAAGTTCAAACAACTAAATTTATTCAGGATTCTTGTATTAAAAGCCCAATCAGGCATGTGTTTGAACTCAAATTATGGTCAAGTGAAAAATAAGCGTATTTGTCTTCTCATTTCAACATCGCTTTTGGTTTGTCATGTGCGAAAATGAAAAAGGCACTTATTTTTTTAATCGGTTTTCTTAAAACGGTAAATTTTCCTTTGGAATACATTCATATATTTGGTTTGCCCATTAGATCCCAACCGCTTAGTCAATGGAAATTGACCGAACCGGTAGTATTCTTGGGACATTTGACAAAATATAGTGATTAATGCCTGATTCAAAATGTCGTTCTTTGAAGACAGCAGAGATCCCATTTTGGGGCAATCTAATCAACATAAAGATTGTGAAGAACCTTGTTATTCAGTCGTAGTAAGCAGCTGAATTTTCATTTTGTGGAAGGCTGCAACCAAACGTCAAACCACTATCGCTTGAAACGACGTATTGCCTTTTTTTCGTTATTTAACACTTTATAGAATAAACGGCACAGTAAATAGTGTTCCTTGGAGTGACGGCCAGCCAAACTGGCAGGAATTTCTTACTTCTATGTTTAAAGTGCTGGACACTCCTAAATAAATGGGTTGCTGAATATGAGAAAAAAACGTTTTCATTATTGTGAGGCTGGATATGTAATCCTTATGATTCAATGAGCTTTTATTCGTTAATAGAAATTGGTTTCTGATAATATCTCTTCAGTCTTACGCATTGCCATAATATCAAACCGATGCACATTGGAAAAACACTTTCCGTTTTTCATAACAACTGGTTAAAATTCAGACAACTTTATGAAAGGTTAAAAGATACCCAAGGCAGGACTTCGAGGATGCGTTTACTAACGAATCCAAGAATAGTAATTGAATGCTGGCATAGGCGTATATCTATGGAAGGTTGACATTTGGTTGAATATTTTATGCTGAAACCTTGTTGGAGACGGATAATCCTACCATTTGTTTAAACAAAGCACTGCTCAGGATTTTTGTATTGAACAAATGTTAAAAAATGAACAAGAAAACGGATTTCATCAAACTGATAAATCAGCGAATGTAAGCCAAAAATGTGTATAGTAAAAACTAATATAATAATAATTTTTCGGATGCATAATAAGATACATATATTTGCATTATCTTTCATCATTTATGATATATACTGTTGATCATATATTTTTGTGCACCGGTCAGTCATTGGTATTGATACCGTGCGAAGTTTGATTTAAGCCGCCAAGTGTTCCGCCGAACTAAATGTTCGTGGTTCGACCATCACATGGGATAAGTGTACAGTAAACTTTTTGCTCATAGCAGATATTTAAAGCAACCATGGGGGATTCTGAATAAACAATCCAAATTGGGATTTTTCGTGATACGTGCAAATTTATTTGTGACACTTATCTCATCAAGGGATTTGTTACAACAGCCGTTTTCATGATTGAATATCAAATGTGACATACCTGCCTTCTACATAGAAAGGACTTGCAAGTTCNTGCAAGTTCATCAAGCTATTACGAAAGCACTTCGATCTCCTGTTCCCAAGAAAGTAGAAAAAAACTCGTGTTCCTCAAAAGTTTGCATTCTATTGGAACAGACAATGTTCAGAATTTCAGACATGAAAACGTTTGAGTTAATTAAGCGAACAATATTTCTTAGTTTTGTGGGGAAAATGATTCATTTATGTCCCAACTAGTTGAGGTACAGGTGCAAGTTTTATATAAAAGTATGCCGGTGCAAGTGTATATGTTATCACTAAACCCGGATTAGAAACTTCTTATCATGATTCACAGCGGAAGAAATACAATAAACGGGTAAATAATGACTGATGCAATCCACTATCTCATCCATACACGTAACATTCCAATTTCTCAAANAAGACTGTTAAAGGTTAAGAAGAGAGCGGTGTAAAAGACAAATCCTGTCTTTGATGGCCCGTTTGATCGAGCAGTGGAGTCGCAGAAGATTCTGATAAATACTTGACTGCAAAACTTGAAGTCAATTCAAATCAATACTGTGTTGATCAAACTGAGTATTGAGTAAAGAGATCGGGTTTTGTGCAATTCAGAGCACATGTTTTCATTGGACAAACAAAATTACCCGGTTTTTTTATCACGATCCGATCCGCCCTTGTTGATATGACGGTAAACCAGAAGACAGCAAACTTGTTGTTTTTTGCATGTGATGCATGGGGTCTAAACATGTTTTAAAAAAACGAATGCACAACGTTCACTATTAAAAGTTTCAAAC